CTATGATTCTATGATTCTATAATTCCTGAGAACTTACTTTAAAGATTCTCATTGTTCGTGGGGTTTTTGTTTTCTTGCTTGGGATTTTTTCATTTTATTTTTACATCTGGAGGGTACAATGATGGTTTTGTTGTCAGAGGCACTTTGTTTAGTACACAAATATATAAGGTCAAGATGCTGGACCAGATACTGCCACTATTTTTCATTATGTAATTAGTTGAGGAATTTTCAGGGGCCATATGTTGTATCATCCAATATCTATTCTTGTTGTTATATTATATTGCTATATCAGCCCATTCCTGTGTCACTGAATGCATCCACTTCCAGAAATTGAATCCTAAAATATCCATGCTGAGAAGTCTCTGGATTGTTAGTGTGGTGCTCTAGGACTTCCTGTCACTCAGATACCGTGAAAGGAGCCAGGATCAGCGACTGTGCTGATAGCAGGCTGCAAGGGCTGACATTTAACCTATGGATTAGCCACCCTCCACATCAGGCTCCTGTTGAGGCACCTCAAGTGGCTCTTCCATTTTCTTCCTTTACCTGTAAATACCCAGAAGCTATTGGGGATCTAGAAGTGACCTTCAGTTTAGATCAGGTATCTGCCTGTCACTTTGAAAAGTACTAAATTTGGTGGATTAGAGAAGAGGGGTTGGGTTTTTGGTTGGTTTGGTTTTTTTGTTTCCTTTCCTATCAGAAGGGAAATACCTTACTGGTGTATGAGGGGTTTTTTTTTTTTTGTTTAATGAGTTTGTAGAAATAAGTCATTTCTTGATAGTAGTAGCATCATTTGTATTAACTGCAATACCTAATGAGGGAAGGTCTTTGTTCCTCTCTTGAAGATCCTGTAGCAAATAGTTGTTAATAGTTACGTTTCAAAGAATAATCAGATTATACAGGAAAATGCTCTAGAAACTAAATTCTCTTTTTCAAATGTCCAAATTTAATATACCTTTGGCCTATTTTATCAACTCTAAGATTAACAAATTCTAGAATATTTTATGGAGCTTTCTCACAGTGCACATTGGCAGTTAGCTTCAGTGGTGAATTATGGTTACTGTAGTTAGTCACCGTTTAAGGATTTCAGTCAACATTACTAGATTACTTATTTAAAGTATTCAAGATGAGTAATTTACTATGCATCTGAATGTATGCCTTATTTTCTGGCAGTCTTTAAATTTGCATGTGTTCTCACTTGAAGTTTTTAACTGCTTCAGTTGAGGAGAGAATTGCTTCACTTCATCCACAAAACAACAGGAACACAAAGCAGTGCATCTAAATGTAAAGTGAAAAGGCTTAACACGTAGGACAAGAGAACTTAGCTCCATACTGGAGTCTCACTGCAGTCTTCATACAGCTGAAGTTCCTGCATGAACTTCAGGTACCTCTGGCTTTCTCAGGCTGGAATTTCTAACATGCAGCAGCACTCACCTGTCTTAAGGGACATTGCAGGAGATGATAAACATTGGAAACAATGTTCTATTTGTCAACGCAGGACATTCCATACAGCTGCTCCTTAATTTTTTATGTTTCATTTTAGTTGATTGTGCAAAAATCAAGTTGAGGGGATATTTGTGGGGATAGCTGTGACAGAATTCTGAAAGAAAATGGATTTGAGGTTTGGGGGGGTTATTTTTTTTTATCTTTTTGTTTTGTGGGCATTTGGGGTTTTTATGTTGTTTTCTCGTAAGAGCTGGGAAGCAAACTTGTCCCTGCATTCTAGCTCTGTCATTAGATAACTGACACTTTGAGTGTCAATCTTGAGTAGTCCATTAACTATTCACAGGTTTGATACTCTGGAAAGCAAAGGAATTAGAATTGTGTAAGTACAGACCATGGAGGCCCTTTGCATTGTGCAGGAGGACAGGCTGACAAGGTAGCTGTTGCTGCTCACTCCTTAAGCACAAAAGCACTGAGATGTATGCTGCAAGGACTGACTGGAGTAAGAATATCTCCACTAACAATCTCTGCTGTTTGTGTGCATGCTCTAACTTGCAGCCTTCTGAAGTGTCTTGATTCTGAATTGCCATTTTATAAGTAACTAAAACCCTTTTTATAACCTTTTTCATTATTTTTTTTGTCCTACTTGTTGAAAAGACAGTTAAAGGTTTAAGATTATAAAGCAAAATTATTCATAAAAGCTTCCATGAAATGGCAAAAAGTGGAGTGTGCCACCTGGTCTTCATATCAGTTCTCCATTTTTTGTAAAATCATTAGAAAGCATCTCTGTTCAGCAACTTTAAACTGCAAAACTGAAAGAGACAGATTTTTGTAACTGGAGTGCTTAAAAAAAATAATCTATACTGAATGCACCTAAAAATGTTTTGCTTGTATTAGTTTCAAGTATTACAATACAAGAATTTGTAACTGAGGAAATCGTTTTGCCAATACACTTGTTCTGCTTTTGCAGGATACTTTCAGGTTCTTTATAAATAAAGTAAATGACCTTGATTCTTCATGAAGGGTCTTTTGTGTTTTACAAAGTTAAGCTAAGACTGAATTTTAAACATACTAAAATTCCATTAAATTTAGTGAATAGTACTGAGAACTGTGTGGTAAGCTGTAAAGATAATGGCCTAGGTGGACATGTATAAAACGTTCATAAAGCACCTGTTCCTTTGTATTCTCGTGTGAGATATAAAGAGTCGATCACAGTTTTAAGAAAATCTTGTTCCTCTCTTTATGAACTCTACACAGATGAAACAGGTGCAAGAAGCAGAGCTTAAGGCATCAGCAAATGAAAGAGAAGTACAGTTACTTCGAATATCCCTTCGGCAACAGAAGGAGAAGGTAAAACAGCTACATGAACTTCTTATATTAAGAGAGCAAGAGCAAAGGTATGTGGTCTTCTGGTTTCTTTTCACAACTTATTAGAGATGCTAGTGTTGCAAATGTGTTTTGTTTAAATGCATTCTGCAAAGTGTGGGTGTATCAAGTCCTTTATGTAATGGGAGAAATGAACTTTGTAAAAACGTAATGTCTTCCCATTATCTTGCTCACTTAAGAATATCTTCATATCTTGTAGATTCCTGACTTGTAAGTCCATGTCGACAACTGTGGTTTTCCAGCCTTTCTTTTGAGAGCTTCTTATTACATGGCTGAACTTTTTATTTTAAATATTTCATCTTTGATGTTATCAGATTTTTTTAAAAATTACATTTAAATTATTGTCTGAAGATCTGCACATGCTACAATAACACAGAGTCTTCTAAAAAGTCAGCTTCTACAGTGTCCTGCTTTAGGGTGGGTGGGTGGCTTGCCTGGCTATTTTCCTCTTTTTCTCTCAAAATCTCTTTTTTTTGAAGAATGCTTGAACATATTATTGAACAACTTGAACAACTTATTGAACATAAGTTTTATACTGTTTAGCTAATATAATCAAATATGTATACAAAGTAAAGCAACAAGTGGTGTGTGGTATACTGGTATGTGAGGACTCTCAATTATTGTGTAATTTCTTATCCTTTTTTAAAAAATACTAAGGAAATAAATTGAAACATCACTGTGAGATACAGCAGTTCTTGTCCCACATATTTGTTTCCTAACTTCAGGAAAGAACTTGAAACCCGAGTTGCTTTAAATGGACCTGAATTTCAAGATGCTTTGTCAAAAGCTCTGGCTAAAGAGGAGCAAAGGCATCAACAACGTGTTAAAGAACTTCAGGAGGCAATTAATACATTAAACCAGAAGTACAGAGAGTTAGAAGATGAATTTCGTTTAGCATTAACTATTGAAGCAAAAAGGTTTAAAGAGGTAAGATTAAGGGAACATTTAATCTCAAAGTAATTTTCTTAAATGTGTTGTTTTGGGTGGGGAGTTGTTTTGAGGTTGGTTTGGGGTTGGGTTTTTTTTGATCCTTAAGGTCTTTGCTCTAAGGATTCATCTAAACATACTGTTAGTAAGCTTTGAAATATCGGTGATTAGAACGTAGGCACCAAATCCCAGGTCAGCACTCAAAAAACCTAGCGTTTTTGTTTATAAATAAAGGTTAATCAAAAGAAGTTAGAAGAACTTCTGTCTGATGGTATTAATTTTAAATATGTTGACCGTTTAGTATATATTCCTTTATTGTAAAAACTCTCATAGTGTTTTGATAAGGTTATGGTTACTTATATTCTAGTGTATTTAATAAAAAAGTTCCCTATTGTTGGTTTGGTGTTTTTTTTCAAAATTTAATTTTGTATATGCATTTTGAAATTCAGAGCCAAAATTTACCAGATTCCTTAGATAAATTACATCTATAGTTATTGCTCACATTGTTTTATATGTTAAATAAAATGTTAAATGCTTCACCTTCACTTAAACTTCATTTTCTTCATTTTAAATCAGTTGGGGAAGAGGGTAAGCAAAAAGATTTTTTTCACTCTTAAAATCTTTCTCTTGCAAGGAAAAAAAATAGAATTAATTATAAGTTCTTCTTTCCAGATTTTAATGTTAATCTTAACATTAACAATGAGACTAAATCAAGGCATTGTTTTCGTTTCCCAAATTATGTTTTTTCTGCTCTGTTTCACATCCACCCATTAATTATTTGTGTTTATTTTTACAAATTTGTAGCTGAGAAGAACCAGTTTTTTGAGTTGAAATATCACCAACAAACTGGTAGAAAACCAGTTTCTAGTGAGTAGAAAACTCACTAATTTCATATGCCATTAATGAACTTCTGTTTCATCCTTTATTTGAAATTCAGATGTAGTTTGTGATTATTTACACACACTATTTTTCCAAGTGTTAGCATTTTTCAAGCCTTACCTTAAATCTTCAGGTAAAAGAGAATTTTGAAAACGTTGCTGCTGATCTAGCTGAACATAAACAAGCCCTGTTTGAGTCTGAACAAAAGGAAAGAGAGATGACAAGTCTGATCCAAGACCTGACAAGTATAGTGGAAGAACAGAAAGCAAAGATTGCAGAATTAACAAAATCCAATGAAGAAGCTACAGCAAACCTCAAGGTACTTGTTTCAAAACATTTCCGCTACATATATTATTTTTTTTCTAATATTTTCTGTATAAAAGTAATAATTCCATGCAAGTTAGATTGACTGAAAAATGCATATTCCCTGTTGCACTAAAACATCAGTCACATCAGCCTTTACTCTTGCATCTTGCACTTCTATTTCTCACAAACACTATTCCCCATATAGCAAAACTTATATGTGGGTTCAGAAGTGTGCTCCTTGTCTTGTGAGCACTAGCAGCTTGTATATAACCAAGTGGTCACTAAACTGAGATTTAAAAACCTCCATTAATTGCTCTGACCCTTTGTAAATCCAAAGTAATGCAGTATGGTTCTGCAGTGGTCGGTTTGTGTGAAGTAAAAATGAAATTGAACAAATAAGCTGCTAATAACTACTCTTGATTAATGCCTCTGAGAGTTCCATTAAATTAGTAGTATTAGTCATTATCTACAAGTTGTCTAATTTTAATGTGAAGTACTGTCAGCACAGTTGGTTTATCTTATGCTATTGATCACCACATGGTAACATACTATCATCCTAATGCTGTTGGCAAATAATTATTGAAAATCTTAGCAACATAACTTCTAAACTGTTGTGTGATCCAGTCCATCCTTATTTTAAAACTCCTGTACAGTACAGCTGTTTCTGATCTCCTCCCTACATGTTGCTCCTAGGGTGTCCAAGCATTGTCTTGCTAAACAGAATAGAATTGTGCTGGTCAGTGATGCTGCTGAAAACAGAATTTTTTAAAAAATGTACATTAAACAGTTGTAATCTGTATAACAAAAAGTAGTCTGCATAACTGAAGATACCTGTCATGGGCAGTGGAAGTCCAGCCCACCTTCTGTCTGTTTTCTTTTGATATGTTTTAGTATCATAAGAACTTTCAATTTCTTTTTTTTTTTTTTTTTTTTCTCACTTGTGCAGTTATAATTCTGAACAGATTTTTATAATGGCATTGATAATTTAAGGTGACTATTTAGAAATCAGCTTTACAGTCTTCTGAGATTGAAGTATGCCTATTTGAAGCAAGTGTTTGTGTTTCATTACTGGAAAGAGATGCAGATAGAACCCTGTATGCAAGCAGAATATTCCTCAGTTAACTTAATTTGTTGTATATAAATGTTACTTTCCTAGCTGCTTAGTATCTTTTTGAAATTTTGAATATTTGTTTTAAGGGATCTTACTGTCTGTTTGCAACGTTCATTCATACAGTGTCAAACTGGAGAACTTGAAACCCTGATTGAGGAGGACAAACAGAAGGCTGTTCAAGTTGAACTTCTGAAAAAGGAAAATGGAAAACTTATTTCTCAGCTGACAGCCCAGGAATCTGTGATTGATGGGTTAAAAATGGAAAGAAAAATATGGGGGCAGGAGTTGGCACAACAGGGTAAAGTATTTATTTTTTTCTTTTGCAGAAAAAATGGTGGTCTGCAATGTCATACCTTTCAAATAAACTCTCCAGTGTAGTTTTAATCATGACAGGGTCTCTGGATGCCTTTTTGATCTTGCCTGGTTGTAAAGTTGATATGCAAAAATAGACCTTCTGTAGGATGCAGGCCATTATAGGAAATAGAACAGCAATTGTGGGGGTTAGTTGTGAATAGAGCTTTTTTCTTTCCCCCAAATATCAAAATACCATAATGTTATACAAAGAACTTTTAAATATGACACTAGGAAGACAAGGATTTGTATATAGTGTTACGTAATGCACTTGTCTATCAGATAAGCATAATGTGAAAATTTCAGTATTAACAAAAAAAGAGTGTTAAATACTGGGTGAAAAAAAGCTTCAAGTTTTTTAATTTTTCCCTGATCCATATGACTCAGCACCAGACTGTGGGTTCTTTGAGATTGACTGGGTCTGTATTACTGTTGACTTTTGTCAGAGAAATTTTCAAAGGATAAAATACAAGCCTTCAGTTCTACATCTCCTCTGAAGTGTTACCTACCTACCCTTAGCAGTGTTTCCAGTGGATGAAATGATTTGGGGTTTTTTTCTTACCTTCACCTCCCTCTCCCAACCTTATGCATCTTTAACTCATTTGTACAATGAGTGCTCTAGTGTAAATATCATCTTTTATCTAGGAGCTCATCTTGCACAAGATCGGGGCAAGCTGGAGGCAAAAATCGAAGTTCTAACGGATGAGATTGAGGTGTTAAAAAAGCAAAATGAACAGGACAATGACACTATAAGAATTAAAAACAAAATAGTGGATGATCAGACAGAAACAATTAGGAGATTAAAAGAAGTAAGTGCCACGTCTGACAGTTTCTGTGCTTAGCTAACGTGAAGACTTAAAGTGAAAGTTACTGTAAGAGCTGTAGGG